GCCGTCTATGTACATAGACTGCGTATTTGAGAACAAATCTATCTCTAAAAAATAATGGGGATCTGGGACCCCCAAAAGTTTCATGACTTTTATTATTATTGGCAAATTTGTTGATGTTTCTGTTCAATAATTAATAGTTAAAGTTGGTCACAAACTTCCCAGGAAAACACAACAGCTCTGCTAGTAGTTAGAGTTTTTCAAACAGATGTGACCATTAAGAAGTCAGGAAATTAAGTCTAAGAGGTGCTATCTGGTATTAAAAACCAGACCATAAACAAAAGAACCAGAGTTGGCTGCCTGTTATAAAGATGAACGTGGCCGGGTGCTGGTGGCTCATGCCTGTAAATCCTAGCTACACAAGAGGCTGAGATCTGAGGATCGAAGTTTGAAGCTAGCCGAGACAGGAAACTCCATAAGACTCTAATCTCCAACTAATTACCAGAAAAACTAGAAGTGGCATCGTGGCTCAAAGCATTGTGGCCTTGAGCAAAAGAGCTCAGGGACAGTGCCCAGACCTTGAGGTCAAGCCCCACGACTGCCAAAAAACAGAGATAAGCATTATTTTAATTAACTATGTTCTGTTTTTTACATTTATTTGCATAGCTTACACTGGATTATGACAAATGATTGATTTCTTATTTCCAGGTATGGAAAACATTTGAGAACCATTACTCCATATTCTATTTTATATTTTCAGCTCCTCTCAACAGGTCATACTATGGAATAACAAGTGGGAAGCACAGGAGACAAGAGTGGAAGGTCTGAGCTCTTGCTAGTTAGTGGATCCTTGGCTAGCCCCTTGACCTTTGGGAGTCTTGGTTGCTCCACCTTTAATAAGAAAATACAGTACTATTTCTAACCACTAGGTGGAGATGTGAGGATTAACTAACACAGTATCTAAAACTTTCTGTAGAACTACGCAAAAACCTGAGAGGGTTAACGTTGCTACCATTCTATGCATCTGTGCTTTATGCAATTGAAGAGTAGCTTTTAAAGTTTCAAACCATAAAAAAGATTCCAGATGCAGAAACGATAAGTCTGCTGCATTTATCGGCAAATGCTTGATAAGGTTCTGGCTTTCCTGAAATGGGATTCATCCGCTCTTTCTTGGAATACTTGGCTTCAAACTGGGGTCGTATTTCTTCCTAAGGAAGAAACAGAGACATTTTGAGGCACTGAAGAGGTTTTCACGCAGTTAGGAAATAATAACCTTCTAGAACCCCATCAAACAGAGTCAAATTCTGGCTCAACTCAGCAGTCAGTCCATGTGGTGGGTTTAGAGATACAGGATTAAGTGCTTGGAAATCGATCACTTGCAGAAGAGTCAAGGGTGGAAAGGTTGCTGAGAAAATGAAACCAAAGGGACTGAGTTTCTCCTCATGGGCCACTCTAACTTCAGCTTGCCTTATGTTTACACCCCACCCCCAGGAAGTACTGCCTCCTTAGTACTACCACCTCGGAGTAGATTCTTCTCAGCATTGGGCATTTGATATAATTCTAAGCCCCAATAGCTGGGTACTGCACCAGGCACTGGAGTACCCATAGAAAAGTTTCTTTGGCATAGTGCTTTTAGGAGGTTGGTCTCCATATACCCAGAGCTGTAAAATGAACAACTTCTTCCTACTAAAGAAGAGACAATATGCTATTTCAGAAAGAGGAAGAGTGGGCAAGAATGGTCATAATATTTAATGTACATACATGCAAACAGAGCCAAGTAAGTTGAGAGGATGGGTGGGAGTTGGGGAAGATGGGTGGGAGTTAGGGCAGATGGAAGGGGGGACATTGATCAAGGTGCATTGTACTCAGAAGCTGATGTGTTTAACTGAACTACCTAAAGATAATTATGGTAATAATAATAAAACTTTTAAGAAAGAAGGCTGGGAAAGATGGCACCACCAATTCTGGTACTTCTACCTGTGAGTGATCTGTTAGATCAGGGTGTTCTCTTAAAATACTGCTGGGGCTATGGAGGCAGTTTAGTGGTAGAGCTTCACTTGCCTAGCATTCCTGAGACCTCGAGTTGGAGCACCATGCCTACTGAAACCAATTCTGCTGGATTTTTTTGGGTCCAGCTTCAAGTTTTCTGAGAAGACAGGTACTGAAAATGTTGACTGAGAAAACCTGAAGGCAGGTACACATCTGAGAGTGAGCTGCAGGCCTGTGTTTCTTGGTAATCTGCTTTTAAACCACTTCTGAGGTAAATGATACAAACCTCCTCTTCTTCCCAGTCTATCAAATCCCAGTCATAAGCTATCACAGCTCGGCGTCTTTTCCAAAATTCTAGGAAAACTGTGGCTGGAATAGGCAGAGAAAGAAAAAGACATTTCAGAGTCAACTAAAGCAAGGCTGTTAATGGCATCCCTGGCAATGAAACCATGGCAATGGATGGCAGTTGTAAGCGCCCTTGAACATTAGATCCCTAGCTAACCTTCACTCAACAGGCCCAGCTTCTGAGAATTATTAAGCTTGAGTTGAATGTAATGAAAAATTAGAGACTTTACTTAGAATTAAATTAAGCTGGTTGGCAACTTGAGGCCAAACTGACTTATTTGGGGGACAAACTATTGTGATATAAAAATACAAAAACTTGGTTAAAATTATATTCCTTATTGGTAGGGTATAATTTTTTTGTCGGTCATGGGGCTTGAACTCTGGGCCTGGATGCTGTCCCTCAGCTCTTCAGCTCAAGGCAAGCCCTCTACTACTTGAGCCACAGCACCATTTCCAGGTTTCTGGTGGTTAATTGAAGATAAGAGTCTCACGGACCTTCGTGCCTGGGCTGGCTTTGAACTGCAATCCTCAGATCTCAGCCTCTTGAGTAGCTAGGATTACAGTCATGAGTCACCAGTGCCCAGCCGTATAATTTTTTAAAATAATAGGCAAGAAGGGACAGAAAAGCAAAAAAAAAGACCAAAAGTAACTGTCTATTTATCTACAACTCTACTTACTGTTATCTATCTATCTACCTATCAATCTATCTCATCATCATCATCATCATCATAATCATCAGTCTGCTTCTATCATCTTAAGTATTTGCTTAAATATTTTAATGTATTTGTATTTGATATAAACTACTCTTTTCTTTTTTTTCTTTTTTCCAGGGCTGAGGACCGAACCCAGGGCCTTGCACGTGCCGGGCGGGCACCCTTCTGCTGGGCTAAACCCCCAGCCCCTAAACTATTCCTTTCTTAAGTTTACAAGAAGTTAGAAGATGTTTGAAAAACAGGTAGCTATATTTCCTAAATGATTTATCCACAAATAATATGTAGGTAAATAATAATAATAGTAATACTAATATTAGAAACTCAGGCTTCTCTTTTCTCTTGAAAAAAGTATGATTTTAGTCTAAGTACCATTCCTGTTATTTGTTTGCATGGACTCAACTTTTTTTCCCTCACATTTCCTTCTTTCTTCTACAGTAAAAGTTATTTCTGCTTACTCAACTACACTGTATTTCTCAAGATGTGTATGTGTGTATATTTATATTTATATATTGTTAATTATTAACTATATATATAGAGAGAGAGTAAGTAACAGAGTACTAGAGTTTGAACTCAGGACCTCATGCTTGGTCAGTAAGTACTCTACTACTTGAACCATTCCTTGTCTTTTTTCTGTTTCATTATTTTTCACATAGGCTCTTGTACTTTTTGCTCAGGGCCAGCCTCAGAGGATGATACTCCTTATGTGTCTAGCAATGAATAGGATTACAGATGTGTATCACCACTCCCAACTTATTTGTTGAAATGTGATCTCAGTAATTTTTTGCCTAGGATGGTCCTGATTGTGATTCTTCAGTCAAGTGCTACGACATCTGGCTGGACTATATTTCCCGAAGGTTGATGTAGCCAAAGGACAGTTCTCTCCAGTAAATATGAACAGAAATGATAAGATATGTACAACTTATTGATACCTTAAGGCACTGGGATGTGTTTTCCACATTCTCTTTCTATCTTAACATGGGTAGAACTCAAGTGATCCAGTGAGATCAGGCAAATGGTTACAATATTTGAAAACAGGTAACCAACTCTTGTAGGAGCCCCTAAATGGCCATGTAGAGCCTAACTATCCATTGGTCTATACTGTTCACCTCAGACTTACCTAAGAGAGATGTCACTCCTGGGCTTTTTGCAACACTGATAGAATGGCCTAACCTCATCTTACGATGAGGACACTTTGGCAAAGTGGAAGGAGATAAATATCACTTGGCCACCATGATGCTTCGCTGAAGACAGGAAGATACCATAACCTGTATTTCATGTCCCTTTCAGAACTTACATAGAACAATCTCAAGTCACAGCAGCTCAAACTTAATCATTAATTTTACTTACAAGACAGTTTGGCATATTTTTCCTCCACCTTTTCCACCCCCATTTCACCTTGTACTGTTACCTAACCTTCCCACAAATGAGGTTCACCTGAGGCGTCAATGTCAATCCCAAATCATCATCATTGGATGACATTGGCTGACACGTTAGGTAAATCGGAGTCTTCTTCCTTCTCAGAATTAGTTAGGATCAGGGGTCATGTTCCAGGATAGCCATTTACCTTTATCTTTGGGGAATATCTCCTAAGACCTCCACAGATGCCTGACTGCATCTGTGATGTTGGGACAGTCAATATGACCAGATATGGCTACTAAGTGACTGGCCAGTGGGCGGGTAAGTGGGTAGGTAGCATGTCCAATGTAGAGATGTGTGCTGAATTCACATGCTGGGCAAGATTGAGTGGACAGTATGAAATTTCATCACAATATTCAGAACATGGGTCACTTAAAACCTATGACTTTTTCATGATTTTAATAATTTTAATTTCTATTTAATTGTTTTGGATCACAGTTGGCCACAGGTAACAGAAATGAAGGAAAGCCAAACCCCAGTAAGGAGGCCCGCCATATCAGGATACTCTTGACTCTGACTATAATCCATTGAGATGGTAGCTTATGTGACACACACAATGGTATGCAGGCTACAATCTCTCTCACTCTCCCAAGCAAAACAGTTATTGCCTGTTTCAAGTAGATTTGAATCACACTTCATGTATTTATTAAAACATCTCCACTTATTCTCTTTCACTTCCTTATGTTACATTTCCCAACATTTGTTGTAATTAGATGTAGTCATGATCCACATTTTGATCAATGGAAAATGGGCAGAAGTAAGTGGTATGTCTGCCCAGGAGAATGGCCCACTCCACTCCCCTCTTCCTCCTCGTAGCCCTACCAGAAATCACCTGCCCCAAACCAGTAATCACCTGACTGTCAATCACCTGTGAGTCAGCAAAGGACCCCAGACTCTGAGGTCACTTCCTCATCCTCTGAGGTCACTTCCTGAACCACCCCAGTCACACCTCCTTCAGACAGTGAGAGGCTCTCCAGGCTCTGGCATCCCTTCCGAATCCACTGTGGTCAGACTTCTCCACCTTTCCCTACATAATCCTTCTCAACCATACATCCCCACTTTTCTCCTCTTCTCTTCTCTCTGCATGCCTCCATTTCATGTGGGCTGGCAGTTTGCTCCCTCCCCCCATAAACTCTTTTTTGCTTGAACCATATGGCGGTCTCCTTTCAGCCAACCTTACAGTGAAATCACCAAAAATAGGTGGACCTTCCCTGAACTACCTTCCATTTTTCCTGGATGAATAGAATTCTGAAGAAAATGGAGCCCTAAGATGGAAGGAACCTATCCAACCATATGAGCGATAGTATGAAAAACTGCCTGCCAGCCAGGATTATCTGGTTGGATTTTGTGGGTTTGTGTCTGACAGCAGCTAATTTTACTTATCCCAATTAATACAAACTTCTTTTTGGAAAACACAGCCATAGTTAACACTATGCACGTCGGAAGAAAAAGGCTACTCACTTATTTTTCCATCTCAGTAAGGCAAAAGAGAGTCTTATATAGAAAAATTCCCTTTTCAGATACGTATGATATGTCTCATACAAGGGCTGAATTGCTGTGATACTTTGCCATTGTTGCTAATCATCTACTCTTTTAAAAGTTAGTCTACATTAACTCTACAAAAGTTTCATTTGGATAATTATAAACATGCACATAATGTGTTCTGATCACCCATCCCCTCTATTGCTCTTATTCCCTCCCCCATTTTCATGATTTTAATGGGTTTCACTATGTTGTTTTCAAGTCTTAATTATCATTACACAGCTAGGGAGTGGCAGGGCTGAGATCTGGTCTTGGCTTGACTGAGTCTTAACTATAAGGCAGTACTTTAACTCAAATTTCTTTTGAAAGAGGAAGCCCGCAAAAGAAAGACAAAGAATGCCTGCTCTTCTAGCCATGTAAGGGGTGCATTGTTGATGCCAGTTATAAACATAAAAGGCTTATGTCTTAGATTTATTGTATGAACCTGACATTTCTGCTTTATTTTTCCCTCAGCTCTGTAATCTTCTTCCAGGGGTCCTGGAAAAACTCACATTTATTCCCTGTGTTGCTAGGGATACAATACTACCAAATTTTGCCTCCTGGTATTATACTAGGTTTGGGAAAACCAAATTTAATTTTATGTTGAGATTGCCTACCATAGTAGTTCAGAGAATTATGTCTAATGCTAGGTGATAATTACAAAGGCATTTTTTCCTTAGTTTTGAAAAATCAAGAGACTTAAGGCTCCCATAGTCTAACTTTCTGTTGTTAAAAGATTGTGCCCCATTGGCTTATATAAGATTTGAGGCTTGACTTGGGGATGAGCAGTGAACACAGAAGACAAGGTATAGCTTTTACTACTGAATGATGAACTACTATTTGATGTCTAAGCATTTTCAGAAATCTACTCCAGATGCTTCATTTATTTTCTGAGAAAGTAAGATGACTAACTTCTACATACACAGTCATTTTTCTATCAATACTAATTTCCTTTACAAAAAAGCAAATTAGTAATATTAACAGGTCCCATTTTTTTCTAGTCCATTACAACTTTTCTAAGTATTCTGATCCTGGAAGAAGGGGCTCTAAAGAGTCATTATGAAATAATACTCTCAATCACAAGTTTGTATTTTCACAGTCTATGTGTTGGAAAATGTAAGAAGAGGTGTCCGAGTATTCCAACCATGTTTCTGAACCAACAAGGCTGAGTGGACCCTACAGGCCATGGTAGTTTTCTCAGGGAACTGTAGTTCTTGGGGACCTTGTCTGTGTTTGCTTCCCTTCTATAAAAAGTCAAGAAAGTTATCAAACTTCGAAGCCTGAGGACTTTCACCCTCATTCATGAGGGATGAAGTAACTGCAGCATTTAACCAGCAGCTCCACAGGTCTTAGCATGGACAAGAGATGGTTTAG